AAAGCAATGAACCCACAGACTAGTTTTATGTCCCACTGGCTTTTGCCGATTCTCATTTATACTGGCAGCTGCATTTCAAGGAAAAATCTAGAGAAATGCAGGGCCTCTCAAGGTATCAGTATATCTAGATCACTGTGCAAAGCAGATAATCTAAGCAACTGTTCAGAATGGGAAGGATGGCAAAGAGGCCATACCTGAGCCCCAAGAAGCCATCAAAATGTGAGGACTTCTGTTATGAATCAGCTATTCTCTGGTTTAAAAATTAAAAAGCTTCAGCCATGCTGCGGTCTTCTCTATATAGTTAATACTGACACAGAGGTAGAGTAGCAGAACTTCTGGGAGAAGTAAAAACAACTATCATTTCCAGAGAGCCTAAATTTCAGACACCAGGCAAGGGGGTGGGTGTTATGCCTATTAATCCGTTTACTCCTCATTGCCCAAGACGGTATTTTATTTTTTAAGTCATTAACAGAAATTACAGAAAACCATGTAGAACACTAGAAAGAGCATTTACTCAGAAGAAAAACCAAGTGACTATTAATGAAATAAATCTCTTTTAGTACTATTTTTATCTTATTTGTCGTATTTTGACATTATAATACTGCTGCTTGCCCTGTTTTTCTTAAAATGAAATATTTAGACATATCATATCTTAGTTTTTTTAATTAAAATTCTGATGATTAGTCTCTAAGAGTTTAATCAAGGAGGAAAAAAGCTCTAGTAACCTATTCCTCTTGTTTGCACTATGTACTTATTTATTATCTGCGAGAACGTGCTTCTCATATGGTTTAAAATGAAAGGGTGATCCATCTCCTCGTTGCCGACCCTCTGCTTGGTGGTGAAAAACAAAACAAAACATATGGACAAAGGAAGAAAGCCTTCCCATCATTGCTCAGCCTTGCCTGCGCTGCTCAGCTGGGATGTTAAAGATTGGGGCTTAATGAAAGAAGGTGAGAAGGTGAAAGGAAAAAAAAGCCCTAATGAGCATGTGTTTAGAAATACGGAGAGATCTCTGAGAAGTGGCAGTGATTTGCTTTGTGCTTCATGTAACATAGTATCCCCCAAGGCCTGAGAAGCCCATCATCTTGCTTCTTTGCTCATTCCGTCATTTTCTACCCTGGCAACCAGTTTCTGCACTTAGGACTGGTTTCATGGGTTTAATTGCAGACAGTGGGGTGAAAAAGAACCTTCTTTTTCATGACCAACTTGTGGTTCTTGAGAAGGATGCTACAGAGATGTGGATGCTCTTTAGGTTGCTTGCATCAGTGGTGGAGCATCCCAGGAGCAGCATTTCAGACTTCACGCTTCGGCTGACAGCCCGGGCCTGACACTTACCCTTTATGGGGAGGGAAGAAGCAATTCTCCTCTGAGGAAGGCAGAACCACTAAAAACCAAAGTGACTGAATGTTTCAAATGAGAGCCGATAACAGCTGTCAAAACTCTAAAAAAGCAATGTTCCAAATTGGAATAAAATCTTGTAGTCATAACATCATCCTACATCAGCAAGCATTCCAGCCCTGTGAGGTGAGTACCACACTGTAAATACCAAGTCCAACGTGAGTCCAGCGAACCAGTACCAAAGCCATGAAGTCTAAAAGAGCTTTTGCTTTTCCAGTTCCTAAATCAGTACGTTGTTACTCACCATTCCCAACAGACCACCCTTTGGGGAGAGGGAGAAGGATATAACAAACAGAAACAAGGAAAACAAGCAGCCTTGAAGCACAGCTCCATTTAAATCAACAGTGATCTCAAGAAGGCAGACGTGCACCTCTGGTGTTCTATGTCCAGTATAACTCTAAACAGATCGGCAGTCATGAATCAACATCGTCCTTTGGAGCTGCGAGCCTTAACTGTGTGTGCTCTCATCCTCTACATTTCACTGAGTGAATAACCTAAATTACACAGAACAGCAGTAAATTGCCTCATCACAGCCCTGTTCTAATTTTAAAAGGATAAAGATCTAAAAAACCAGAAAGCCCAGCACTGAAGGCTTTACGAGTGAAGCCTGTTAAGGAGCTGCTAGGGTCTTTTCCCAGAAGGTCATGGATTCCACTTCAACCTAGATTTGTAGTGATCAAGGATCATTCAACATTTTGTGTTAAATTTGTATGTGCCCCCAACATAATGTTCCTAACAGGACACTGACAGATTGCACTTGTCACTCTTGCTGACTCTCAGGAACACAGTAGTTGGCCAGCCACATGTGGGAAAGTAAACTGTTTTCTCCCATATTGAAGAGATGCTTGCAAAATGTGAATTCCAGGGCACTGAAGAGCATACTGTCTGCTGCCTGATCCTCTTTCCTCTCTCTTAGCTCCAAAGGAAAAAGTATGCAGCTCTTTAACTGTCATCAGTTTAACACCCTGATAAGTCTGGGACAGATGAAATTTGAAAGGTGTACATTCATACTCACAAGAACAGCATTTTCCAAACAGCATAACTCTCATTTTGAACAAAGCATTCACTTGTGGTGATAAAATGCCCGGTCACAAGTCAAATTTTGACTCCATTACTGAGCATTCTCCTTGAGCTCTAAGTGGAAAGTCAGTACAATTTACCAGCTGTCAGGCTCCAGCTCCCCGCCCCCCTGAACAATAACAGAATCACAAGCTAAATAGTTGTAGCTGCTGGAGTCCCTCCTTGATTAGATTCTTAACGACTGACATAGTCCACAGGTCCCTTCAGCTGGTCAATCAACAAACAAATTCCCAACCATTCAGATCCCAGGTGTCTGCTTGGAATTTCATAGAAGTCAGTAGAAAAAAAAAATCTACCATTAAACAAAAGACATTTAGGATGATTTAGAGGCAATCCTAAGTTATCAAGTTTCCTGTTAGGAAGAAAATAATGAAAATGCTTCCCTTTATAATAAAGAACAAAATTTGGCATTGGCTGAGTTAAGATACAAGTTTTTCCCGAAGCACCTTCCACAGGTTGTATGTAATTGGTTCCTATCTTCACAGTGATGTTTACCAGCACGAGAATAGGTGAAAAATGTAGTCGAATGCCTTTATAAGGGTCAGTACTGCGCATCTGAGTAGTACTAAACAGCTCTGCCATCCCAAGTACATCAAGTACAGACACAGCCCAGCTACTAGGAAGTGACAGCACCCCATGTGAAATTCTGTTACCTGGAAGCACCCGGAGGAGTCCAACTCCCCCAACTTGTCCTGTGACTGTCAGGTGTCTATTAGGGGAGATGAATCGTTCCCTAGATCGTTCTTTTAATTGCTAGTGATCATCTGAGCCTGTGGAGGGATTCTTCTGTTATTTCTTGTCAAGAGTCTGAGGAGTCATAATTTTGCAAATGTTTCCTTCTACCAGGTGGGAAGATGAGGGCAAAATCTAACAGTCACGATCCCTGAAATAAAGAGGCATTCGACTACCTTAAAACCTGCCTTCTTCTCTCTTCAAATGTCCAGAAAGAGCTGTCTCTGTGCTGAAAGAGGGCTAGAGGTGGCTGAGTAAAGTCTGCCCCTTGGGAGCAGATGTGAGGCCCAGCAGAAACCCATCCACCCACCTATTACAGTCATTTCTCCACCAATTGATAGGTCTTTATTTATAACCCATTTCATCTTCCGTCCTGGCAGAATTTAATGGGTTCGGCTGTGGACTCTATCTCAAATGGTCATTTTGTTAGGGGGAAATGGGAAATACATTTTCTAACCTAAAGCAATCTAGGAGATTTTTCAAAATCTCCACTGCAGGAAGCCCTTCTACGGTTTGGCTTGACTCTCCAAAGCAGCTTTCCCCATTCCTGGAGAGGCTCACTCTCCCTGATCTTTGTCGTGTGGTCCAAATGGGCCCAGACTATTCCCATCGCTCCTGAGCTCTAGACTGGGTCAAAACAGGAAGGGTCTGTAAAAGAGGGTGATTCCGGATGGTGTCTGGGTTTCACTTTGGGAACTCCGCCAGGAGTCTGAGTCAAAAGTCTAGCCGATCACCAAGCGGAGGGGTTTGGAAGGAAGCAGCTGCCCACAGCAGGCCCTAGGGACAATGTGACATGGCTTCATCAGGTGGAAGCCACGCAGTGCTCTCCTGACTCAACTTAAGAAACAAGGATGTCCAAATAAGCCCCACCGCCGCAGCCACCACCAGGTCCCGGGAGACAGGAGGCGAAACGTCCTCTTGCCAAAGCGGCGGATGGGGTTTGTTTGTAGGTTCGCAGTTCACCATGATAAATGTAAAGACCAATTAAGGTTTGATCCGTGCGCACGGAGGCAGAAGGCGGCTGATAGTGGAACCAATTAATGAGCATGTTCCTTAATTCCTGCCGGGGCCGCCAGGCGCACAGCGCAGCCCCAGTCGCCGGTGGCGGCCACCCCGACCCCGGGCGCCCCCCGCCGGGCCGTGCGGGGAGGCGTCCTCGCCAGCGCGGAGGTGCGAGGCGCAGGGCTGGGGGAGCCGGGGAGGGGGCGCGCCGGCAGGGACGCGCAGAGCCAGCCGCCCACGAAACCCAAGTGTGTGCAGCCGAGACTGCGGGGTGGGGCGCCCCGAGTGGTCGCGCGAGGCGAGGGCGCGGGTGGGCGCGACGGGGCTGGACTGGGAGGCCAGCCCGGGGCCGGGCGGAGCCCCGAAGACGGAGGACAGGTGGCCGCCGGCCCCAGCCAGGTAGCGAGAGGCTCCGGGGCTGCGAGGCGCGGTCCCGGCTCGGCTGGCCCCCGGGGCTGGTCCCTGCTGCCCGCCGCGGGGGCGGCCTGGAGTACAGCAAGGGGGGCGCGAGGCCGCACCCCGAAGCCGGGCGTGCCTCGGCTTCCCTCCTGTGCTCCCCTCTGCCTTCCGGCTCCGCCAGCTGCCCCAGACGTGACCTCCGCGCACGGTGCTGCCGCCGCGCGCAGCTCTGGCGCGCGTGATTAATGGCCCCGGGGTTGGGGGCGGCGCAGACCGGAGCCCCCTGTTGGCCCCGCCGGGGTGTGAGGGTATCCGGGTGCAGAGCGGGGTCACGGCCGCGGGGTCCCCCGGGAGCGCGGCGACTGCGGAGGACGCCGAGGAGGACGAGCAGTGGATGGCGCGGGGCGGAGAGGCTGGTCCCCTCCGGCCCCAGGACCGGCGCCCCGCAGCAGCAAAGTTTGGAGTCGCGGGCGCCGCGCGCCGGTCCCTCCCCGCGCAGGTCCCTCGGAGAGTCTGTGCCGCCGCCGCTGCCAGGGCAGGACAAAGGCTCATTAACACGTGATGGGACCGCGCTTCATAAATGGGACCGGAGCGAGAGGGAGCCAGAGACAGCGCGCGAGCAGAGGGAGAGAGAGGCAGGGACCGCGCACCGGGGCGAGGCGACAGGCGCCCGGGCTGGCGGCGATCGGCGGCCCCTGGCTGGCCAGGCGGGGCGAGCGGGAGGACCCAGCGAAGAGCCCCGAGCAGGGGCGAGGCTCGCCAGCGGCCGGGGCGGAGGGGGCGCCAGTCCCCGTGGCTGTCGCGGGTGGGCGCTGGAGCAGGGACGCCAGCGCGCGGACCGACTGACTTACTGACCGACCGGCGGAGGCACACCCCGCTCCACCCCACCCCGCCTCGCCCGAGTCCAGGCGCTGGCGACGCCTCCCCTCGGCCCCCTCTACTCCCTCTCCCTCCCCTTCCTTCTCCACTCGTCTTCTGCCTCCGCCTCCTCTTGGCTCCCGCGGCGACAGTGCCTTCCCCTGGCCCGGGCGGGGCGCCGCGGCTCCCTGCAGAGCTCTCCTAGAGTCTGGGGGGACATTTCGTTCTAGCGGAGATCCAGCCTCTGAGCTGGGCCAGAGGTGACAAGGGAGCTTCTGCCCCGAGGACCGGGGGATGCGAAGGGTAAGATCTGGCAGAGTTGCATTTGGAAATACTTTTTCTGCCTCCCGCCCCCTCGGGTACTGACCAATGTGGTCCCCAAGTGTCCTTCGTGGAGTTCTGATTCAGGTTAAACGAATCGTGCGTCGATGTTTACTTAGCTTTGTCGCCCCAGCCTGTTAACTGTTGTCTGTGCTACTTCTGGAGGTTTCTACCATTTACTATTTATTGAATGTGTGTGCACCTGGGTCTCTGTATGCCCTGATGTCTGTTTGTAGAAACGTGTAATTGTGCATGTTTGAAAAACAGGCGCTTGAGCTGATGTTTAATGTCTGTAAACCGTATCAGCAAGGAAGGCTTTTTAGAGAAATACATAAACCTCTACATCAAGTCTAGAAATCATTTAGAATAAATATTAAATGTCATATAAAGAAATGCATGTCAAATAATAAACTTTTGATATAGAGGCAGATAGCTGCAGAAACCTCTTCTCTTAGAGGGAAAAGAAATGTGCATAGTATTTAGGACCTACAGTAGAATGCCGATGGACCCTTTTAACTCAAAGCTAGCCAGTAGATGAATAAAGTTGATGTTAGGTTAAAAAAAGACATCTTTTGATAAGGCTCACAAATCATAAATGGATCACCTCTGCTGTGCAAATGTGTACTGTGACAGACATGAAAAGCTGTCGTTTGGTCATTTGAAAGTTTAAAAACAACAAGCATGTTTCTGATTTTAATAGCTCGTTTATCTCTTAAAGGTTTTAAATTGAATGGGTAAGAAAAAAATTTAACAGTCTATTAATCATACTGTCTTTCATTTTAAAAAATTTCTTCCAAATAAGAGCTAATCTTGGCTTTGTTTGTTTCTTGCCACATTAATCCTTCTTGGGCATTTAATCTAATAACAGATTAGAGCAGATTTACTGGCTTTAAAGGTGTTGAAAGATACCTCTTAGGGTCACAAAACTTCTCATTTTTATTAACACATTAATATCTTTTGAACAATGGTGAAAATGCAGTTTCTTAGAAGAAACTCAGAGGACGTTAAGTGTCTTTGGGGTCATTCCTGACATCAATCTATTTTGCAGAATATCGAAAAGCTCAAAGCAACCAACCTTTAAGGTTCCCATAGGACTTTATCTGATTTAAAGTGTTGCTTTTCTAATCCCACGCTCCTGTCAGTTTGCAAGGGAAGATATGCTGATTGATTTTTCTCTGTCCTTCCCCTCCCCCATGCTGTAACTCAGTTAAGAGAAATTTTATAGAAATAAAAGGCCATGTGTAGTTTCTTGAATGAAACGGATAATTTTTGATTATAACCATACGTGAAGAGACTACATACATCTCCGAGACGTTAAACAGCACATATTGAAGACAGTCATTTGTAGGCACAATAGCAGTTACTAGACTTGGACAAGAGGCTGATGTTGGACATGGTGTTTAAAAACTAATTCGTCTTAGGTTATCAGGAAAACTTCCTGTAAGCAGATTCTTTTTGTTTCAAAGATGTCTCCTTCTCTCGGCCAGGAACTCTTGACTGAGGTATGTATGTATCAAGGCTAATGAGAAGAGATCTCATTGTGCTCCCAAGTCTACATGAGGGTGAAATAATGCCACATGGTGGAAATGCTCAGTTCTGACCTTTCAAAAATAAAATTACTATGCCTGCATGCTCATTGTTAAGACACATTATTCATACCTCCACATTTTAATAGCATCAATATGTATGTGCATAAATGAGTGATGGGATTAGAGCCTTATGTCATGTGTGATGTTTAATTTAGCCTATAAAGTTTTAAATGCTGGTGAAAATCAGATCTCATGTTGAAGTGGTACTTGGCTTTGTTTGTAATCCACTGTTTTCTGTCTTTTTCTGTTACCCTTTTCCCAGTGGACTGTGTTCCTCTGTCTTGCCTGTGAGATTGCTCTTCTCTAATAAGCATAGCTGCAAGATCAGTGTGTTCTTTTTGGCATTTCGAAATGTTAAAATAGTGAAATTGTTAAATGTTACCAAGATGAAGCTTCTGGGAATGAAATCTTCCAAAAGAACCACTGTATTTGTGGCATATTACATTCTATTCCTAAAGCAAACTCTTTGAATAGGTTTACCTATTTCCTCAAGAAGGAACCAGCTCCATTGATTCTGTTGATAAGTGTTTAGTATGCAGTGTCAGCTTATTAATTACTAAGGCAAAGCCTGAGAAACTCTTTCAAAACAATCATATGACATTCTTTGCTTTGACGCAGTTAACACTAACCACAAGGAAATTTGGACGAGTTCTTTGATTATCTTGCATATTAGATTTTTAAATTAAAATTGGCATTGATAAACTTTGCTGTGTAAGAATACACTATTGTGACACAGAACTTATAATAGCAGTTTAGAGTTCACCACACTTTACTAAATGCTTCTTCTCAGAAAACACTTGACCTAATAATGAAAGCGACTATTTCCCATAACTAGCTATCCAGGAGTGCTGTAAGAAAAAAAAAATAAGTAAACAAAAAGGAACAAATTGAATTCAGAAATACCTACCAACACATAGTTAGTGAAATAAGATTTGGTTGTACCTTCTTGAATTTAGTTAGGAAGGTGGAGCCTATCCTTTAGGTTATTGCCTCTTCTTCTTGGGATAACTATGTTAACTCAGTTGCATAAAGAATACAGATGAAAGCTTGCATGCCCTGCTAAAAAAGATGCCGTGTCTCCCCCAGTGTAAGTCTGTCTTTTCTATTTTTATATTCATCATTTTCTAATTGAACTGACAAATAGAGTGAAACCAAACTTTGTGTTTAAATTATTTATAATTTTGCTTTTGACTCTGAATCTGGATCCAACATTGTTTGAAAAACTGTACTACAGCCAGGTATACATATTGCATATCTGTATTTCTAGAAATAGCCAGTTCTGCTTGTTTTTTTCTTATTGACTAGAAGACTGATAGAGAATAGGAGGAGATTAAAAATAACAGATAGCTTTCATAGGCAAAATTTTAACTTAATATTCCTCCTGCCTCAGAATCTCCAGATCTTTCTAATCCTGTTCTCATGAAAATGTTAACTTTGTACTGTAACTGCATGAGTGCTGTTTTTGCAGAATTAGAAGCTCTTCACTTTGCCACTGGATTGCTTTTTAATTCTTTGGTAACCATTCAATTCACATATTTGTATATTCTTAGATGAGGTTGGATTCATCTTATAAAATAGATTGGCTCATATTTCTCCAAAATATTTTCATGACTAAAAGAAGTTATAAATGTCATCCAGAGTGTTTCTACTGTCAAATTATATGCTGAATAATTCAAAACAACTGGATATATAAGGACATATGAATAAATGTTTCAAACACACAGATCATGACTAAAGTAGAAATTTAAATACATTGCCTTTTAATATATTCAGAATATCATTTTGATTTTAAATAATGCTATGAATTTGGAAATATGTTCAAGTCCAGAATATACAGATGGATACTGAAAGCTCAAAGCAAAAAGGAAATATTCACCTTGAATCAAAACAAGGCTGTCATTGTTTTCCAGGGTAGGTGGAAACCCATTCCAGTCCCATGTGTTCTAAGAATCTTGATGCACATCACCACATTGGATTATAATTTTAACACAAACATTGGTTTAGTTTAAAACAGCTCTTAAAAATCTTGCTAATTTTCATTAGTTTTGGAAATTAGGACTGTAGTAGTTGGAAGAAAATATAGATTATTACTGTACTGCAGAATGTATTATAAGATATACAGGATGTATTATATGCAGAATGTATTATAAGATATTTTATATGTAATACATCATAATGCTATCACAAGGAAGTTAAAACTATAGGGAATTTGAGGGTGTGGAGGGTTGTTTTTAGGAATCTTTCCATCTATTCTTACTACTACTATTCAATTGCTGTCAGATGGACTTCTGTGTCACACTTCTCCATATGGATAATAGGTATGTTTATAACATATCGAGAACAAGTAAAAACCACTCATAAAGTAACCAGTGTGGTGCGATTACCTCTAGTTCTTAACATAAAATATTTATTAACATCTTTCCTGGATCACATTTCTTCACTAAACAGGGTGCCTGTAGTGAAATATAGTATATTCCATTATAATAGATTTTCTAAGCCAGTTAGTTGCACATGCATATATATTACTGATCTAATTTTACTATTATTTTTCATATATTTGAAGTGTTTATCACACAGATTACCAGTGCTTAATACTTGGATAGTCTCTAATTCACTTGAAGAGGTTAATTTAATAATTTAATGACCATGGAATTCTTGAGGTTCGTAGTTAAGTTTCTGTGAGTTTTTGAGGGAAGAATACTTTTCAGAACTGAGCAAATGGGTCTGCAGATTCATTGCAGTTGTTCTGGGAGTACTGTGAATTCTGCTTTGGCCTTAGCTGGAGAATTTTTCACACCTGCATTTCAGTAAAGCTTTCAAAGTTTTGCTGTCTTCGTTTTGTTTTCTTTTGTTTTTGAGTAAGTGAGCTGAGACAGGTTAGATTAGAATCATTGTTTTCTAGCCAGTTTTTTAACCCATTATGCTAGTACATTATATTCTGTATTTTTTTGTAAATTTCCTAAAGTAGATTTAAACTTTCTTTGAGTACATGAAGGAATCTAAGTTTCATTTTTTTCTGACTCATATGGCAATTAATTTCTCCCTAAGGTTACAATATTGTGTTATTTAATGTTTTATTTTTATATTCTTAGTTGAATTCTTAATTGAGTTTCAGTTTTATAGAGTTGATATCTTGGGCTTAATTCTGTACTACCCTTATCAAGCCTGAATACCTTTTAAAAATTTTTTTTATCTTCAGATGAAATGCAGTATAGTTTCCTGAATTTGATAATGTAATATCTATTTTTTTCCTACTAGCAGATTCCATGCTATTGCTTTTTAAAGAAAAGCAGAGGCACTTTTCAAAGATGTGCCAGGCAATCTGTTGTGGTGGTTTAATATACTGACAAATGCTTTCACAAACTGCATATGTCTATAGTGGATTTAAATATA